CCCTTTTTTTATAAAAAAATATGTGTTTGTTCCCCATATTTATAGGCTATTATTGCGCTATTATTGCTTTGTTGGACAAAATTTTCTTTTCTAGTATTTTATCCAGATGTCAGCCAATTTACAATCACACTCGCTCCCCTTATTAAAATGCTGTACAATTCTATAAATAAAAACTATTATATATGCCATTACTCTCAAATGAGTGTGACTTATTTTGTTGTCAGAAAACTTATATGTGACCCTGGACCACAAAACCAGTCATAAGGGTCAATAAAAAAAAAATTTTTTTAACTGAGATTTATACATCACTTGAAAGCTTTAAGCTTTCCATTGATGTATGGTTTGTTAGGATAGGACAATAGTTGGCTGAGATACAACTATTTGAAAATCTGGAATCTGAGGGTGCAAAAAAATCTAAATACTGAGTAATACTAAGCTCTTAGCAATGCATATTACTAATCAAAAATTCCGTTTTCATATATTTATGGTAGGAAATTTACAAAATAGCTTCATGGAACATGGTCTTTACTTAATATCCTAATGATTTTTGGCACAAAAGAAAAATTGATAATTTTGACCCATACTATGTATTTTTGGCAATTGCTACAAATATACCTGTGCTACTTCTGACTGGTTTTGTGCTCCAGGGTCACGCATAGGCTTGTGCATGATGGACCGATTAACTTCTTAGGAAATGTATACATTTTGGGGGTGAGAGGATGAAAAAAAACCACCCTAAATATTATTACATTTTGTATTCATATATTTAAATACACATTGTGCGAATACATCGCTTAAATGGTGTTTAAACTAGGAAAAAAGCTTAAAAGTAGGTCGCCATTTGTGACACGCCTCCCCCGTCTTATGAATGAAATGGAACAGGCCGCTGATGCCACGCCCCCTCCGCGCTCAACGTTATTGTTGTTAATGTCAGTCAGAGACGTTTGATGGAGGAAGTGACAAAAAACACCCAAACAAACCTGTCGAGTTTCCCCAAAAGCGACAACTCCCGCAGCTTTTCAGGGACGTTATGAAAAATAGGATTATTGCCCCGAAACATATGTTAACACAGGGGGTAATAAACTCATGGAGCTGCGCAACGGCACACAGGGGAGAATAACGCGCCTCCGGCGGAGCTGCAAGCGAGCCAAGCCGCCCAGCGTCAACATGAGGCGGGATGCCAGTAAAGTTCTGCACCCGCTGCCTGTGGAGACCAACGAGGATGATGAGGAGCTCATGAAGGAGGAGGACTGTTTCTCCACGGGCTTCCTCAAGCGTGACAGATTAAATGTTGTAGGGTGGTGCATTAACTCTGCAATTAGAAATTCCAAATTTTTCCATGAATTTTTGAGAATAATTTTTAAGTCATTGCAATCATTAAAAAAAAAAAATTAGCAATTTTTTTAGAGTGGTGCTTAATTTGCAAAATATAAATTGGCAATAGAAATTTCTGTTTTTTTTTTTCATGACTTTTAAAAGATTTTATTACTTTATATAATTTTTTGAGCCCTGGAAATTGTCATTTTTAAAATTCCCCATTATGGGAGACCTGTAACAAGTGTTTATAAGTTCTTACAGCATTTGTATGGGTCAGAGTCCACCTGTTCTCCATGCATTTTCCTAACCCTTGTTTCCTGAAGTCAAGCGATGTTCGTTATCACAGAACACAGACAGATTATCAGGGTGTACTGTACTCTCATACAGTGCTCTTTGGAAAGCCTCCAAACATGCCGCTCAGCGGAAATCTGTGCTCAGCTGAAGTCTGATTGGTGTTTTGCTAGCCTATCTGAGTCAGCTAAACCAACAATTTAGTTCTAAGGCTCGGAGTATGAACAGTAAATCTGCTGTAGTTTGAACAGGACTGGGATTAAACAAACACAACCAAGTCTGTTTGTTAACGAGTCCGAAACAGCGGCCTATCAGTTAGAAACCAGCAACATTCAATAAAGAGCCATTTTGTCTGACTCAGCACAAATAACTCAATGAAGCACATGAGGAGATTATGGAGTGGGTTTGATCTGCCACCAGTGGTTTACACTAACCTCAAATGCTAGTTCTAACCAGGGTTATTAGAGTTAATTAAGAATAAAGTCATAAAAAAATCATTACTTGAAAGAAACTACAATAAAATAAAATATATAAAACAAATGAACTAGCCTACTTGCCAAGGCAACATTTCTCACTTTTATTTAGTTTAACTTGATATACTAAAATAACTAAAACTGAAATAAAAATGAATAAAAATTACACAGACATATAAAAAAATGTAAACTAATAAAGATATAAACAAAACACACAACACAATTACTAAAACTTAAATTAAAAGGAATAAGGAGAATATAAAAAGTGAATCAAAATATAGTAAGAAATAAGTAAGAAATAATACAATTGTTAAATATAAAAACAAATCTAAAATATACTTAATAAAAACTATAGTACCTCAGTGATATTAAAATAACACTGGTTCTGACATTTTCCTTTCAAGAAAAATGAATCAATTGGAAAATATTGTTGTCCTCCGAAGTTGGGTTTTTACATTAAAAAAAGCCAAGAGTACCAAAAACTTAAAAAAGAAAAAAATTAGATGCTATATGTTAGATGCTATTATACTAATCTTATTTTAAAGGATAAATTGGTGCACATTATTGTCTTTGTAATCTTTGCTCCGTCTCTGAAACTGCTTTCAATTTTGATTAACATAATACAAAATAAAATATATAAAACAAATGAACTAGCCTACTTGCCAAGGCAACATTTCTCACTTTTATTTAGTTTAACTTGATATACTAAAATAACTAAAACTGAAATAAAAATGAATAAAAATTACACAGACATATAAAAAAATGTAAACTAATAAAGATATAAACAAAACACACAACACAATTACTAAAACTTAAATTAAAAGGAATAAGGAGAATATAAAAAGTGAATCAAAATATAGTAAGAAATAAGTAAGAAATAATACAATTGTTAAATATAAAAACAAATCTAAAATATACTTAATAAAAACTATAGTACCTCAGTGATATTAAAATAACACTGGTTCTGACATTTTCCTTTCAAGAAAAATGAATCAATTGGAAAATATTGTTGTCCTCCGAAGTTGGGTTTTTACATTAAAAAAAGCCAAGAGTACCAAAAACTTAAAAAAGAAAAAAATTAGATGCTATATGTTAGATGCTATTATACTAATCTTATTTTAAAGGATAAATTGGTGCACATTATTGTCTTTGTAATCTTTGCTCCGTCTCTGAAACTGCTTTCAATTTTGATTAACATAATAATACATAATTTGACTGACTGATAATAATCATAATTTGACTGACTAATAATAATCAGACATGTTTCTTGAGCATCAAATCAGCATATTAGAATGATTTCTGAAGGATCATGTGACACCGCAGACTGGAGTAATGATACTGAAAATTCCGCTTTGATCACAGGAATAAATTACATTTTACAATATTTTCGAATAGAACACGGTTATTTTAAATTGTAATAATATTTCACAATATTACTGATTTTACTGCATTTTTAATCAAATAAATGCAGCCTTGGTTAGCAGAAGTGTCGCTAACTGCATTCTACTATCATTCCAGGTGAGCGTATCTTGGGTTACCCCGAGGAACCGTGTTATCTTTGGTTTGTTATGGAGTTCTGCGACGGCGGCGACCTCAACCAGTATATCCTCTCGCGGCGGCCTGATCCGTGGACCAACCGTAGTTTCATGAAGCAGATGACCAGCGCTGTGGCCTTCCTCCATAAGAACAACATCATCCACCGGGACCTCAAACCAGACAACATTCTCATCTCGCAGAAATCCGGCGATCCGGTCATCAAGGTCGCCGATTTCGGCCTCAGCAAGGTTTGCGCGGGACTCAGCTGCATGGAGAGCGAAGGCGACAACCAGGTGAACAAAAACATGGTGAACATTAACAAATTCTGGCTGTCGTCAGCATGTGGCTCTGACTTCTACATGGCTCCGGAGGTGTGGGAGGGCCACTACACTGCCAAAGCGGACATATTCGCACTCGGCATCATCATTTGGGCCATGATCGAGCGGATCACGTTCATCGACGCCGAGTCCAAGCGAGAACTCCTCGGCACGTACGTCCGCCAGGGGACCGAGATCGTCCCGGTGGGCGAGGCCCTCTTGGAGAACCCAAAGATGGTCCTGAACATCCCGCAGAAGACGCGGAGCATCATGTCTGAAGGCGTCAAGCGGCTTCTGCAGGACATGTTGGCGGTCAACCCGCAGGACCGGCCTGATGCGTCTCAGTTGGAGGTTAGAATGGACCAATTGACATGAGCGGTGTAAGCCGCACCCATTGGCCGAAACGAGCACGCAAATTTTTCAGGTGGGTTGCAATTTCTTGGTTTCGTTTTAGATGTTGTATTCACCATTTTTGTTCACCTCAGACCAAAAGTCAAGAGTGCAGTTTAAATCCCATAATGCAGGGGTCTCTAACCTTTTTTTACACCACGGACCGGTTACGTTTGGAAAATATTCTCGCGGACCGGCTGGGCGGGCGGGGGGGGATATAGCCTATATATATATATATATTTGGCTATTATATAGTATTATAATAGCATTATATAGTGGTTCAGCGCATTATATTGTGTTTTTTTTTTAGTCACAGATCGGACTATTTTTTCAGATAAGCATGAAAAAAATATATTTAAAGCACAGAGAATGACAATGCCGTGAAGGGTTTTTGACATAGGTTTATTTTATGTGTATGTATATGCAACTCGGTATTTCCGCGCTGTCTGAAACGTCTCTATGCTTGTGCGCGCTTTGATTATGTGCGAGAACAGCGCGTGAGCTCTCTTTTGTTTCTTCTTCTTGTGGTTTAAAATTGCTTGTACGTGTAAATTGGCAAATTAATCTGCGAGTCACGTCCGTGCCGAACGGTAGGGTCTCATCCGTACGTATTACGGATCAACTGCGATCCGTTTAACTCCTAATATGTGACAGATCAGTGCAATCTTTCATTTACTTATTTAACATGAAATTGTCAAATTGCTACTCCATATCAATCGCATACAAAGAAAATACAGAATAATTAGAACAATCATTAACATAAATAAATAACAGAGTGTCATATCTATACACATTTTCCCCAGAACGTTCTTGCGACC